CAGCAACCTCCAACTCCTGGGCTCAAGCGAGTCTCCTGCCTCAGCCTCCCAAGTAGCTGGGACCACAGGCACCTGCCACAATGCCCGGCTATTTTTGGGTTGCAGCCGTCATTGTTGTTTTGGCAGGCCCAGGCTGGATTTGAACCTGCCACCTTAGGTATATGTGGCTGGCGCCTTAGCCACTTGAGCCACAGGCGCGGAGCCAGAAGCAGCATTCTTGTCCTCTCAGCTGAACCGAGCAACCTCAGTAATCTTCAAATGATGGGACATTAAAGCTTTGACATCAAAACTTCCCTTCTTATGGGAGAATGGTAGGGCTGTGTCTTCTGATTTAGCAGAGTAAAGAGAAGCACAAAGGGTGGGAAGGCAGTGCTGGGGCTCACTACCTCAAGGGGTGCAGGGTGGAGGATGTGAAGCCAGCCAGCAGGGAACTGAGTTAGTCTGCATGCCCTTCCACTCCCAGGGCATTTTCCCACCCATTCCTTCATATGCAGCACTTCTATCACCAGGAGCTAGGAGCCTCTGGGGAAGCCTGGGCTCTGAGCTGGCTCACATATCCCCAGGGAGTACAGATCACCTAATTTAGAGGGACCACAGAATTGGATCCCTGCCCTACAATGACAGGGCCAACAGTGGCTCCCAAGCCTCATGAAGCACTCACCGCAGCCTTGACGGTTGCAAACTCCACCACAGCAGTACCTGCCTTCTTACTGGAAAGCACCAGGTTGAGAACCTCACCATACTGTGGGAATAAGGAGTCCAATAAGCATGGCTTGGCCTGTAAGATGGCCCAGCTTATGCCAGAGACAAGCCTTGGGTGCCCTGGGAGATAACTTCTTATTGATAGGGTCCCAGAGAAGTGACATTGGAGATGGAAAAGAATGAAGGTTTTTCTAGGAATGCAGGACAGCAAAGGACAGATAAGGAAAGGACTGGTATAATCACACAGCTGCCTTGGCTGGTTGAAGATAGTGAAGAGGATGGGGTTTTTGTGCCACACACCCACTTCCTCTCTCTCCATACCCAACCAGCCAAGCCCTTTGCTTCTAAGGATGGTAAGGGATAGACCTAGGCAGCAAAGGACAGACCAGGTCAGAGAAGGCACATGCAGGTAGAACAAAATGCAGGTAGAAGAGATGTTAAGGGAAGTTCAGGCATAGAGAGTCCTGAGGTGTGGGCTAAGATACGGACTGAGGTGACAGGAAAGAAAGGAAGTCAGCCAGCCAGACCTTTTGCAAAAGCCGCAGGAGGACATCTTCGGAGTAGCCACCTTTTGGATCATCCTCTTTCTTGCACTTCCATTTTAGCTGAAAAGATATTTATTGCTGACTCTTGGCCAAATGGTACCTAACTCCACGACTGGGCGTTAGACTGAGCAGACACGCCTGAGTCTCCAAGGCACCTACAATCTACAGAACACCCCCAAAACATGGTTTCCCCTTGACAACTGATAGGCAGGGCAGCCTGCTTGCCCCAGGAATGCTTTCAGCCCTGAGAAGGCTTCTGGGCAATGCTGCCCTGTAATCATCAGGGCTAAGAGCAGCCTTTCATGGCAAGCTCTGGGAATCAGTCTGGTCTCCAGGCAGCTGGATGATGGCAAGAATGTGGCAGTGGTCCCCCTCTGGCTTCCCTCAGAGATTCCATGTCCCCACCAGAACCCCTCAAGCCACAGGATGTATCTGTTCTAGCTGAGAGGAGGCAGTATGAGTATGAGATAGCCCATAGATCCTGCCCGTGCTTACCTTTAGTTTGGGTGTTCCTTTGTCATCAATATTTTCTGCCTTTCCTAGAAATATTGGGAAAAGAGGGTAGAATATGAGGGAGTCCGAGGTTCTCCCCAAGGAGATGCAGCCCAGAGCCAGAAGGACCTAGAAAATGTCGCTCTTGAACAAGGACAGTTATCTGCCCAGCTCTGGTGAGGACCTGATAGGAAAAGTAGATGCAATATCCCCACCCGCAGAGAAGCTGCCACCCCAGGAGTGCTCTGCCCATCTGTCTGAGCCACCTGTCAGCACTCTCTAAAGGAGGAGGTGCACAAACCATGAAACAAAGTATCCCTGGTGATATGGTCCCAAATAGAGCCATCTCTGCTTGGAACTAAGACAGATGCAGCCAGGAGATCTCAGACTAAAAAACAGATAGGCCCCAGAGAACTGGCAGAAGGAAGGGATAGGTGGCAGGGGTCAGAGTGAGATGCCCCGGATTCTAGCAGGTGGAAGCCTCCACAGCAACTCCACCAAGCAACCAGTATGGCCACCTGGAGCTGCCCTGGAACTCTCACCTCTCAACCTATGATCACGTTCCTGGCGTATTTGCTCCCGAATCAGCCTCTGCTGTTCCTGCAGTTGCCGGGAACCTTCTTCTCGTAGACGTTCAATCTGCAGAGCGGGGGTGGAGGGGTGACAATTCTGTGCAGATCCAATTCCAGGTTGGCTCACCTTGTAAAGCTCCCTGGGAGGTTCCACTGCAACTAGGGCTCAGCAACCTGTGGGTGGGACAAATTACCCAGATCCCACAGGAAGAGGAAACAGCATACTCTCTAACCACGAGAGCCACCCAGGTCTACCCCCGCCTTCTCCTGCAGATGGCCCTCAGGCCAGTGTGTAGAAGCTTACCTCTTGCTCTAGTGTCCTGCTGCTCCGGCTCTCCTCCTCCTCCTCACTCCCCTGGGCCTGGGCCTGCTGTTCCCGAGCCTCTAGGTCTAGGCACAAGGTTACATGATCTAACTGCTAGTCTTTGGGATTTCTATGTGGCCTTTGGCTACTTCGCCAAAGTCTTATACAGGATGAGACCATACAGTAATCCTGTCTTCTTCCTCCATGCCTACATGCCCCTGAGTTAATTTCCATTGAGAAAAATCACAGCACAGAAGTATGGGTTCCAGTGGAGTGGCTAGGGGTCTAGGAGAGTTAAAACAGTTCACACTGACCAAGCTGGTTCTTCCCAATCAGTGCACAGGGTATAGTTGGGTACTTATGCCAGCAGCCCAGAGCCATGTGTCAGGGATGCCAGTGGGTACAGCCGCTGGACTCTGTTGCTGGGGTTTGGCACCACAGCCTGACCTTTGGCCTTGATTCTTTTTCCACCACTGAGTTCAAGTTCTCACTGTCTCCTTTACCTGCCTCCTCAATGCCATGCCAGTTGCTGTGACAAACCTTCCTCTCAGGCTTGGGAGGTTTGTAGATTGTGTACTTTATTTACCTAGAACCTCCTTTTTTTTTTTAATACAAACAATCTCACTTTGTTGCCCTTGGTACAGTGCTGTGGCATCACAGTTCACAGCAACCTCCAGCTCTTGGGCTTAGGCAATTCTCTTGCCTCAGGCTCCTGAGTAGCTGGGACTATAGGCACCTGCCACCCTCAGTATATGGGGCTGGTGCCCTACCCACTGAGCCACAGGCGCCGCCTCTCCTTTTTTTTAATAGAGAAATGGATAAATTCAGATGGCATATGCACACATTAAAATATATGGATATTGGCTCGGCGCCTGTGGTTCAAGCGGCTAAGACGCCACCCACATACACCTAAGGTGGCGGGTTCGAATCCAGCC